CGGCAGCGAGAGACGATCGAGTGGTGGTCGTTGGATTGTGTGTTACTTGTTTCTGCTTTTATTATCTCGATAGATCATTTGTTTAACTTTGAATAATGATGCTTCCGCTTTAATTATTTTGGACATGTTGGTTAGACCTTGGATTTTTGGTTGAATTAATTAATTATGCATGACTGAGTTTGAGGATTATGAATAATTGGAATTTCATTTTGAACTGTTAAATTTTGTCCGTATAAATGTGTATTTATTTTAGTTGTTTAAGTAGCGCCCGTTTAGTGTTAAAGTTTTAATTGGAATTTAAAAAAAAAAAAATAAAAAAAAAATAAACTCTGATTTTTATAAATAAAGTCGGTAAATTCTTTAAAATAAAACGGGGCGTTACAGCCCCTTCTCACGTCGGCGCCTCATCTCCTCGAGCGACAACCTCTTGACCTCCGGGACTGGTGGTCGAGAGCTATCGGGCGGTCGGCCGCTCGGAATCAAATTGCTCGCATTCGGTTGTGCGCCTGCGGTAGTGTTGCTTGGGCCCGTGCGTCGCGTGTCGGGGTAGCGAGCTTCCGCCCGTCCCCTTTGCGTTGCCGCTAGATGGTCCTCGCGGCGTCAGACTACCTCCATAGCCGCATGCATCGAGTCGGGCCGCTCCAATCGAACCTCCGCGGCTAGATCATACTTAAGCCCGCCGATGAATACCCCGACCAATGCAGCCTCGGGCCAGTCCCTGACGTGACACGCTAGCTTCTCGAACTCCTTCAAGTAATCGCGCAGGCTGCCGGTTTGGCGTATGCGCGAAAGGGCCTCATCGTAGTTATGGTAGTTGGAATTCCCGAAACGCGTGAGTAACTCGCGCTCGAAATCTCCCCACCTGATGACTCGCTGTCGTTTGCGGTATACGTTTGTGAGCCATTGCCACCAGACGTTAGCCTCGCCATCTAGGTAATAAGCCGCATATCGCACGCGGTCATTAGCCTCGGTCTCATTGAGCTCAAAGTATTGCACAGCCCGGTTGAGCCATGCCTCGGGATCGGTGCCGGTGAAGGTGGATAGTGTGAGCTGCGGTTTGTCGAGCCTCGGGCGGTCGTGCGCGTTAGACGCTTGTGATCGCTGATCGAATTCCTCCTCGTGCTTGCGCTCATCGGGCCGATGTTCCTCCTCCTCGGGTCGATCGCGCCTTGGCTGTCGTGGGGGTGGCCGCGCATATCGTTGGAAGCCGCGCACCATCTCCTCGAACCCCCGGTTCACAGTTTCCATTAAATCCCGAACCGATGCTTTTGTCGCGTCGAGCCATTCGCCGAAGGTATCCATGACTTCGCTCATACTACGGACTTGAGCGTCAAGATTATCGATCTTGTCCTTCATCTCCTTGTTGGCCATAGCTTTCTTTTCTTGCTTTCATTCTTTACTTCGAGGACTAGTCTTGAAGATATATTTTTTATTTATTTATTTTTTTTTAATATGGGGGACGAAAACAAAGAAGAAGAAAAGGAAAGGGAATGGGGTAGGAAAAGACACACGATCTAGATACTCTCAATGAAAGCACCAATGATGAAGATCGCGTGTCCTGATTGCCGATAAGCCACAAACCCGTGCCTTGAATCGCCGATAGGTGCCTCGTAGGTTCACACAACCGCGCCCCTTCAAAACGATAAAATTGCAAAAGAAATCAAGAAGATATCTAAGGCAAAGTGTTTAAACAAAAGTTCGGTTTTTCTATTAATTTCTGAATGATATTTTCGAATGACAATGGGCATATTTATAGATGCCAAACTAAGTCTATTCCTAATCTAAGAAGAACTCCTAATGCTTGGAAATAAATAACGTCCTAAGGAAACTAAATCACTAATTAGAGCAATAAAATATTAAAGTCCTAAACAATCTAGATATCATAAGCAATAAGAAAACTATATATCTAAAGAATCCGAAGTGATCTTGTCTTGCACTCCAAGTAGGGAAACCTTAGCCTATCCCTGCGCGCGCCACAATTATTCCACCTAGGGAAGAAACCCTAGTCTCCGCGCGCGTGACGCCTTGTGTCCGCCCGACGTGCGTCTCCCCTACGCCTTGAAGGATTATGCCCGAGCTCGCATCGCCTAGTCCTAATCTGTCAAGGCGTTTGCTCGAGCGCGTCTCCACTTCGCCTATTCCTACTAGGAATATGCTCCCCACTACTTTGCCTGTTCCTTTGAGGATTACTCCTGTCGCCGATCCATCACGCGCGTACCAGCACTCAGCTGCTTTTCCTAGTCCTGCGGGGTCTAGTATTCGCGCCTTGCCTATTCCTACGATGATTAGGCTTGCGTCCTTCGCTTGTGCGATCATCTCGCGTGCTTCCCACGCGTCTTCTGCCTTGCGCCCCAAGTTGCGCGGATCAACCCTAGGCGGCGCGGTATTCCTCGCCCACCAAGGACTCGCACCCGTCAGCCGTTGCGCGTTCCGCGCATCGCTGACCTCATCCCACGTGTGCCCCGTCGCGCCACGCACGCGCTCCTGCATTCGCGGGTCGTCCCGCTCGCGAGTGGACGACATGAGAGCCTTTCTCCGATTGCTGGCTCGCAGACCACGACCCTTGTCCCGATTGCCCATCGCTGGTTCGACCCCTGTGCCAGCCTCCTTTCGCGAGCCTCGGTATGTCGATCGCCTCAGTCGCGTATGCGCCGACTCGCGTCGCTCACGTCTCCTCCCAGCGCATCCGTGTCGCACTCTCGCGCGCATTTCGCACCTTTTCCTCTTGCGTATGCGTGTCTCGACATCGACTTGCGTGCTCTCCTATACCATTGCACACGTCTGCACCCTCGTATATGGGCTCGTACACGTCTCCATAGCCATGCACGCATTGTTTCGATCCTTTTCCTAGCCTTCTCGGGCCGACTCGGCACTCGGCCCTTCTCGCCTCGGGAGTCGAGACCCACATTCTCATCACGGTCTTCTCGCGCGCGTCGTCTCGCGCGCCATCGGCCTTCGCGCACGTAGCCCGCACATCAGTCCCCACTGCTCGTCCTTGGCTGGTCGCGGTGCGTGCTAACTACCCAACATCCTCCCCTCGCGCACGTAGCCCGCACATCAGTCCCCACTGCTCGTCCGCGATTGACCCTCGCACCGACCTCATGGCGTCGCTTCTGGGCCACCCGTCGTGAACCTCCCGTCGTGCCATTGTCATAACCCCGTCTCGTGTGCCCTGTCCCAGCACACCGGGTTGCGCAACTCCCGCGTTCAGCACGTCCGCGCCTCGCGTGTTTCGCCCTCGCGCAGCCTTCGCGAGTCCCCTTAGCACGGTCCCGGGGGTCGTTCTGACCCTTATCGCGCCACTTCTCGTGATTCGAGCGCGTCTCATCCTCGGATTCGGATGGGTCGATGACCACATTCGCATCACACTACCCCCACTCCACGCCGCGCCGCATCCCGCGCCATATGCTAGGGGTCGACAGAGTACGCACAGCTCCCAGGCGTCACGTCGCGGAACTCCAGCGCGCCGCAGTACGTTGATGAAGATGTGGGTTTCGAGGCCCGAGGACGCTAAGAGCCGATGGCCGAGACGACACGAGAAGTCCGAGAAATGGGCCAAAACCACGCATGCATGGCCTAAGAGACGAGTACGAGCCCGTATGCGAGGCGCACGAGTACAAGAAAAACGACATGAGTCGACCCGTACACGGCTGAGGCGGTCGACATGCCTGGGGATGACTCATGGCAGCAGACCAACGTCTCGTGCAAAGGGAAGGACGTCGAGCCTACAGCAAGGGCGCGAACACGCGCATGGGCGTAGACGCGCACGGTCGAGACCTGAGAAGCCCGTAGGGCGGTGGCGAGGACTGGATGAGATTCGGGCTAGACAACGCGGGTCTCATGTGAAGGAGCGGGTACGCGCGAGAGGAGCTCGCACGAGCACAAAGGCACGCACGCGGAGATGCCGCATGAGCCTTAGGTACGCGAGGCGTACGAACATGGCGCACACGCGGACGGGCCTGGACTTTGGAGCACGTGTGGGCTTAGCGATAGTAGTCCGGTCGAGCCCGGGAGTTGGCAACGAGTCACGCGAGGAAGCACGTGGAGGCGTACGTGGACGTGATGCACGAACGCACGAGGCAAGCCGTGCGAGCGGAGGGTGAAGTTTCTAGAAGACTTGTGGCTAGTTTAATAATTAATTAGTATTTTATTATTTTATTATTAGCATAAGTTAGTTATTGAGTATTAGTTGGTTAGTATTTGTTAGATGTTAGAATAGTTAGTGGCGTTAGCAGGATAAGTTAGATTATTTAGTTTAGTAAATATTAGATTGTTAGGAATATTATTCACGTGAGGTTAGTAGTATTTATTGTTAGGAAAATTATATATTAGTTTAGCGTAAGTTTTGTTAGGTTAGTATTCAATTAGCCGTGAGTTATATGTTTAGATTAGTTAGGAATTTTATATTTTGGTAAGTCTTGATATGTAAAATATTTAGTTACTTTAGGATTAGATATATTTTTCATATAGTGCTCATAGGACTAGATCTAGTTTTTCTTATAAATACCCAATGTACTCATTCAATTTGATTATAAATGAAGAATTAATTAAAACCGAACATATGTTCAAATTGTCTTGTGAGTTTACAAACTAGATCGTGTTAGAAATAGGACCAACATCCGATTTTCTTCCACAAACCGCGAAGTACGAAGACGTCGGCGAGCGTATTAGCAACCTATCGCGAAGGAACCAAGGCGTCGGCGCGGGTTTCGAGCAAGTCGAGTTGGTGAGACAAACAATCTTTCATTATTGAAGCTTTCATTGAGAGAGATCAATCGTGTGTCTTATTTAAATTTTTTTTTTCTTCTTTCTTTTGAATTTTTCTTTTCGTAAATNCGACACAGTGTTTTGGCGTAAAAAAAAAAATTATTAAAGATTTGTTTTGCCGTGTTAGTTTGTTAAGCGGCACAAGTTAGGATTAGTATATTATTAGTTGTTTATTAATATTAAAAGAAAAAAGTTTGTTTTGGGGTTTTGCGTGAGTGTTAAAAAAAAAGTTAATGAGTAATTTAGAGTGGAGGGATCGAATGGAGAAGATGAAGTTAGAGTGCTGGATCAAAGAGGTCAAAGAAGAAATCAAAGAGTTGAAACGCCTAGGCAGGTGGATGAAGGAAAAAGAATGCGATAAGTTGGACAAGTTGCGTAAAGAGCGGGCAAAGTACCAGGCGAGGATACGCAAAATCGAGTCACGTACGGAGGGGTTCGTTTACAGGGAGCCCGTGTTTACGTTCGATCCGCCTATTTCCGACGATGACACATTCGCGGACCTCGATGTAGTCGAGGTAGTCGAGGTCGAGGAAGAGATTTTGGTCCTGGTCGAAGAAGGCCATGATGATGAGACGCACATGGAGGACGATGCGGATGAAGAGGTGGTGACGCCCCAACTGATGATCGATGACGAGTCCTTGAGGACAAGGACTCATTCGAAGGGGGGAGGAATGATGAAGATGTGTGTAACGCCCCACTTTTATTTGCCGAAAATCAGAATAAATTTTTTAAATTTATTTCAAAACACCTGAGGCGCTACTCATTTTCAAAACGAACTTCAATACTTAACCAATTTCTCAATACTCAATCAATCATCAAACTCAATCATCAATCATCAATAATCAACAATATTACTAACTCCCAAAACGGGTTCCAACAATATTCATAAATCATCACCCAAACCGGGTTCCAACAATATTCATAAATTCTAAGGAGCATCTCCTTAAACATTATTCAGTCGCAAAATCCGAAATTCATAAAAGCAATAATACTCCAGGTTCATAATCATAAAACCAGTTCATAAATGCGGAAGCATATCAACTAATAAGATCGGTCTTATAGACCGACCACCACTCGCTCTACTCCGCCTTCTTACCTGCTTCGCTTAACCTGAAACGTGAATTTCAGGTAGGGATGAGCACAGTTGGAAAAAGTAGTGCTCACCACTATGCAGTAAACATTATTCACAGCAATAATAAGACAGTAATCAATAATCAATAAGGTATGGTCGCAGCATGTATTCGAATCAATTATTTATCCCATCTCTTATCCCAAAGTCAACTCTCATGTGCACACCTACGCATAGACTACTGCTGATACTCGATTCGAACGCCAAAACCTACGAGTTGGTCTTACAACGATGCCCAGCCAGTAGGAGTAATCCACCCTGCCCGGCCAAGACCTACGAATTGGTCTTACAAAGCGGAGATCACCAGTCGTGGCCTACGCCCTGGTCTTACGGCCATACGTAACATAATATAAAGGAGACTACCCATCGGGTACGTTCTATAGCTACGGGAATAACCGTTCGACGGCCGGTACAGCTCACATCGAAGGCTACATGGTTCCACATGCATACTTTGATCATACCATAATTAAAACAGTAATAACATTTAAGGCATAGCAATTTTTCGAATTAAACCCACCTGGTCTCGAATAGGAGATAACATGAAAGCACGAATAGACTGCGAGCTCGGCTCGTCAAGCACCTACATTAAGTCCAGATGCTACAATCAACATCTATTTGACTTAAACGGAAATCACAATTATACTTAGCCGAACTTGATTCGACTAAGTTGTTCGTGAAGTCCTATGAACGTTGGAACACTTAGACTCGACACTATGACTCAACCAAATACACATGGAAGTTCACAAAGTCCAAAAAAAATATTGACCAAGTCAAACAAACAAAGGAACGGGAGGCGAGCCGATTTATAGTTTATAATACAAAACCATTTATTTGAAAACATTAGTTTTTAATCACAAAAACGAGTTGGTCAGGTTATCAAATGAGTTAGGCTCTGAAATTTTAAACGAAAATTCACCTCCCAGAATTTAGTAAAACCACCGATTATCAGCCCCAAACTCAAGGTGTGCTATTTTATAAAATTCGAGCAAGTTTATGGCAAAACGAGCATGAATTAACAACCAGATCAAATGAATGAATTAGCCTATGAAATTTTTATCTAAGGAACCTCAGCATGTACGTAGCAGTGCGTAAAAATATCAGCCCTAAACTCCTAACATGCGATTTATTAAAATTGCTTAAACATTCAGTTGTTTTAGAATTTTCAACGTAACTGAACCTAAATGAACTCCAAATATTCCCATCTTTTACCAACATGAAAATACACATAAAAAAAGTACTCCAACCAAGATTCAAAATTTTTCATCAACTTACCGATTTATCATAATTAACGCCACTTTATGCAGAATCAGAAAATAAATTATTTACCCTATCAAACCTAGTCCAAAATCCTAAAATTTTGCCACAGCATACAATCATTACAGAGGCATAACATAGTCATAATTCAGCCAATTTCGAGCACTACAAAATTTATTATGCAATTAACATGAAACTGACCAGAAATCATTCTAATTTATTAAAATAGCTACAGATAGAATAAAATTCTGAAATTTCTATACGACGTTCATAATTATCAGAGGACCACACTCACAAAATTTCACAACAAACGGATCAGAGTGCAATTTATCATGAATTTAATACTAAATCAGCGATTATATGAGTTCAGAAATTCATGTACGACTCGACAAGACTCGAAATTGTCCGAGGTCTTCACCATAAGACCAAGGACACGTTATGTTCCAATTCCACAGTACTTAACACGGATTTAACGAGGTCTCATTCGATTTCACAAAATCGAAGAGATCGTTACATAAGACAAATACAATTAAGGCATTTCATACTTATATCAGCAAGGCAACACATATAGGCATATACACATAACAAAAACATAAGTCCAGGTTAAGCCACCCATTACCGTACTCCAACGGGGAGACAAGGAAATGGGGCTAGGGCTGGACGGACTCTCGGGGATTGAGCGGTGCCTCGTTGCTTCCTTGCAATACTCATTTATTCCCTTCTAATTTCAGCCCATAAAATTTATTTAGCCCATCGCACACTTAAGGCCCAAAAATGTCACCAAGCTCAAAAATTTTAACTATAGCCCAAAATCCTTATTTTCCATTTTCTTTTTCCTTTTTCTTTTCTTCCCCTTTTCTTTTCTTCTCCCGTCGTTTTCTTTCTCCTTTACTGCCTTTCCTCATCTCGCTTCTCCCCTCAATCTGCAACACAATTTCCCAATTCGAAATTCACTTCATCCTCCAAATTCACTCCCAATTTCCCTTCTTCTCTCCTTTTCGATAGTCTGTACCCAATTAATGTTCTCAGATCCGTGAAATCCGACGGACGCGCGCGAATTGACGGAATTGGTGGACGGAACTCCTGGCGATGGCGGCTCGCTGCTATGCGGGCGCCGGCGGGTTTGTTGCAGCGGCAGCTCGCTGCGGTTCGGCGGGGCAGACAAGCGCTGTTGGGGACTCTGCGGCGGTGTTGCGACGGAGAATGATGGCCTTCGGTGGAGGTTCGCGAGCAGAGGGCGGCGGCGATTCGAAACGGCGAGGACCGACACGACAAGGGCGGCCTGTATCTGAAGGAACGGGCCATTTCCGGCTGGATGATGAACGGGCGCCGACGAACCTGCTCGAGCTTCGACGGATCTCAGCTTGAGGCTTACGGTAGAAAAATGGTCCGCGGCTGTTGATGGTGAGGCTGCTGGTCCGGACGGTGGTGGGTGGCGGTGGTTGAAGGCGTCTGGTTGTGGTCTCGGTGTTTGCCGGCTCGTCGGGTGGAAAGTGGGTGGTAAGGTCTGCGGCCGATTAAGCAACCGTGTGGCCGTTACGGGGACCCCGAACAGCGGCAAGGCACGGCGGAGGGAGGTTCGCAGCTGAGGGGTTTCGAGGGAGTTTTCGATTCTTCGGTGCTTCAGACTGATGGCTCGATTTGTATGATCGAGAGGCTTGAATCTGATTTGCCCGTATTTGATGCAATTGTACCCGAACAAAACGAATGTAAAATAGTAGGAAAATCTCAAGTTTGTTGAATCCGTTTTGTTTGGGATATGAGGGTGATGATCGAGAGATTTCTATCGCGGAGAAGATAAAAGCTGCGGGAGTTACGTGAGAAGAGGGAAAAGGATCCAAATAAAAATATAAACCTAAATCAAAAACTTGGTCACCAAGCCAAAGGGCTAATGGGTCGCGGGTTCGGGTTGCCGGGTTTGGGCTGGTTCGGCGCTTGGGCCGGTTCATACTGGCTCTCGGGCTCAGCTCCGCCATATTTCATTAAATCGGTTCGGCTCGAAAATTTAAACTATAAACCGAATATTATAATACACAAAATTTTATTTTTAAAATAATAATAATATTAATAAAAATACAAATACACATTTTAATTAAATAATAACACTTAGACAATTTGGCAATTAATTACAATTTGACACATAATTCATATTAGACATTTAAATAATTTTAGCATCCAACAAATAATAATAACAACAAGCAAATATAATTAATAATAATAATAATAATAAATAATTCTCAAAATTTTCATAGTCAAACGGGGCATTACAATGTGGGTTTCGAGGCCCGAGGACGCTGAGAGCCGATGGCTGAGACGACCCGAGAATGCCGCGAAAAGGGCCAAAACCACGCATGCATGGCCTAAGAGACGAGTACGAGCCCGTATGCTAGGCGCACGAGTACAAGAAGAACGACATGAGTCGACCCGTACACGGCTGTGGCGGTCGACATGCTTGGGGATGACTCATGGCAACAGACGAAAGTCCCGTGCAAAGGGAAGGACGTCGAGCCTACAGCAAGGGCGCGAACACGCGCATTGGCGTAGACGCGCACGGTCGAGACCCGAGAAGCCTGCAGGGCGGTGGCGAGGACTGGATGAGATTCGGGCTAGACAACGTGGGTCTCATGTGAAGGAACGGGTACGCGCGAGAGGAGTTCGCACGAGCACAAAGGCACGCACGCGGAGATGCCGCATGAGCTCTAGGTACTCGAGGCGTACGAACATGACGCACATGCGGACGGACCTGGACTTAGGAGCACGTGTGGGCTTAGCGATAGTGGTCCGGTCGAGCTAGGGAGTTGGCAACGGGTCGCGCGAGGAAGCACGTGGAGGCGTACGTGGACGTGGTGCACAAACGCACGAGGCGAGCCGTGCGAGCCGAGGGCGAAGTTTCTAACTTTTGGCTAGTTTAATAATTAATTAGTATTTTATTATTTTATTATTAACATAAGTTAGTTATTGAGTATTAGTTGGTTAGTATTTATTAGATGTTAGTATAGTTAGTGGCGTTAGCAGGATAAGTTAGATTATTTAGTTTAGTAAATATTAGATTGTTAGGAATATTACTAGTACGTAACCCATGCGATGCACGGGATGTAAAATTTGGAAGAATAATATAATTTCACGTGTATTAGGATCGAAATTGAAATCATTAAAATACATAGGAAGATTGTTGAATCATAAAAAGTTCGGTAACAATCATAAATTATTAAAAACCTCCTTGTACACAACATTATAAGTTTGATTATTTGGTAACTCCTCATTATCACAAACTAATATTTTTAACTCTCTTCTATTATTTACACGCGAAGCAGCAACATATAATTGGTCGTGACTAAAAACGGGTTTCTTCAGGAAAAGACCAACGTGCGATAAAAAAAGAGTTTTTAAAAATTGAAAAGTCAAGGCAATCAGTTCAGATTAATTAAAGATCAAAGAATATCCGCTCCTTGAAATAAAGACGTGTGCTATCATTAACCAAATATCCGGTTATTGATATAGAGTGGTTACCAAAAAACAGAACGCGATAAGGACGCTTCATGGAAATATCAATGGGATAAGGTCATAACAGATCGCTATACATTTTAACGATAAAAGCTCATATGGAATGATTTAATTAGATGTGTGAAAAGGACATAATTAATGAGAAGTGTAAAAAGGACATAATTAATGAGAAGTGTGAAAATGACAAAAACTTACCGGTTTTGGAAAATATTCAATGCAAATCCGACATTGACCATAATTTGACCTACTATTTTGGATAAATGTTAGTTCTTATTATATAAGTATAGATTGGAACTGAGGAAAATAATAGAGAAAGTCAAATATTTCATTATAGGGAGAAAAAAATATAAAATTAGCTTAAAAAAAATTCAATTTATTTTGTATAATATAGTATATTAAAAAAATTAAGGTTAGTATATAACTTTAATACCTATGTATTGTTTGTTGTTTTGAAATATGTATATTAAAAGGAATTTTTCCAACAAATAATTTATTTTCAATTTCAAAATCAGTCCCTAAGTTTTTATTTTCCCACTGCACTCTCTAATTGTATAAACTATTTCCACTTAACTCCACAACCTTAAAAAAATGCATAAATAAATTTAAAAAGTTATAGATATTAAAAATACTTAAAATATTATATAACGTATATAAAAAGCATCTAAAATATTCTATATTATTCATTAAAAATGTTTGAAACAACCTAAAATTTTTCTAAACTAATCGTAAGGAAAACAAGTCTAAAAATTCTTAATTTAATCTCCATATATGTATAGAGAGCGAGAGAGAGAGAGCAAATGTGTAAAAAAATTTATACAAATAATATTTAAAAGTATCTAAAATATTAGTAATTAGACAGGTGAAAATTAGCTTTTTATTATATGTAGATAATAGATTTATAGCAGTAATTAGACTTTATTTATTTATTTTATAAACTGTTACAATATATAAGGGATGAGATTTTTTAAACTCGTCGAGATTTATGCGATGAGATTTTGTAAACTGGGTTATGAGATTTTTTAAACTCGTTGAGTTTTTGTAAGCTGGGTATATAGATTTAAAATTATAAAAAAAAAAAGAACTTCCATAAATCATTTGATTTGGCATTTCGGAGAGCTTCATTAATTTAAAATTGTAAAATAAATAAATAAATAAAGAACAGTCCCAAAAAGTTACAACAAGGAGAATTAAACTAAACCCTAGGATGCAATAAATGTTGATTAGATTTTATATTTAAAAAAATAAATAATAAAAAATATCTGCAAAAGTTTTACGTGTTGCAATATTTTATATTTAAAAAAATAAAAAATATTTGCTTTTACTTGATGCAGACCCAACGTTTTAGGAACTACACAAGTATTCCTAAATCTATTAATATATAATACAGAGAAGAAAAAATATTTGAACAATCCGAAAAAAAAATTTCATTTTCCCGCTTAGAAATGCTTAGAAATCATGTTTCCCCGCTTACATATTTTGTAAATTGTTTGAAATTGTATTTTTGTCGGCCATGTCTTCAAATTTGTTTTTGGCTGTATTTTAGTGCTCCGATTAAAATGGGGCTGAATTTTAGCAATCAGATAAGATTAATCATATTTGTTTGTGGCTGGATTTTGTTGCTCTGATTTATATGGATCTGATTTTGTGCGGATGAATTCTTTTAAAACTGGGGGCAAAATATCTTACAAAAATATGTTTATTAAAACTGAAAAATCAAAATTATTGAGAGATTTCAAATCGAACAACAGATTTTTAACAAAAAATTCCAAGCAAATCGAACAAAAAAATCCCTAAATCGAATAAAAAAAACCTAATTTTGAAGAATCTTCAAACCTTATAAAGCAAGCATAAAAATCCCTAAATTTAACTAAAGTACAATAAACAAAATTTCGTTTTCGACAAAGAAACGAATGATTCTTTTTAAGAATCATAATAATCGTTAAGAAATCGTACAAAATCGATCAAAAATTTAAAGATTTAAAATGAGTTCTAATCTTCATTCGAACAGATTTAAAAAAAAAAACAAAAAACAAAAAAAATGTGATGAACGAACCTAAGATTGATATGATAAAATACATGGATTCGAACAAAAGTAATACAACTAATCTATATAACAAACCTAAAATTGAAAGTAATTTTTAGGTTCAATGAAAAAAAACAATAAATTTCGACCAAAAAAACTGAAAGAAGATGAACAAAAAAAAAAAAAAATAGTTGCGGCGAAATGAGGAGAGAATGCCCGATAGGTTTCCCAATTTTTTCGGGTTTTATACTAACCCTTAAATCAATCTCCGTTAACTTTGTTTTAACCGTCGGATCTTCTTTTTTGGTTGATGGGCAATTCAGTCTTGGGCCAATAAAAATCTAATTTTAATGGGCTTAGTATAAGATAATGTTATGGGTCGGCGTTATTTGGGCTGATTAAAACAAATATCGTTCTGTATAATATCAAGCCACTTTAATATCACCACATTATTAGATATTAAGCCCATTTAAATAGTATTAATATATATTTTATTATAAATATTTTTTAAATTATGTTTGAATTCAAATATTATGGTTTGTATATGAATTATTTATTTGTGATGCTTAACTAATATAAATTAATCACAAATAAACAATTTGAATTCAATTTTGTATTATTTGTATATAAATTATTTATTTGTGATGCTTAATTAATATAAATTTAAATATGACTTTTTTCAGGTTGTTTGTGGCCGTTGGCAGTCAATGGATCATAATATACTAGTACAGAGCCCGTGCGATGCACGGGGTGCACAATTTTAAGGCTATTTATCCAGACTTATAATTATATACATGAATAAAGAAAAATGTACGGAATATATATAGTACGTGACCCGCGAGATATATTTATTTGGAGAATATTATATTATAAGATGCAATATTCAATAAAAGTTTATAATACGCAAGAACGATGTTCAATAAAAAATTTTATAATATTCAAGTGGAGTCTTAAAGTCTCTTGTACATTAAGACTACTGACAAAATAATATTTTAATCAATGAGTTTCATTTCCTTGTAGCCAAATTGTGAATGTGATTTGAGGAGTACAACAAATCGATATATAGCTTACTTGTTTTTTTCATTGTAGTTTTTTTTTCTTTATTTTTTTTATAATGAATTTAAAGATATTCTAAAATATACTCTAAAGAGATGGGTTCAACACCAAAAAGCTCTGCCGACAAAACCCCCAAACCCTCGTCTTCA